AAGTGCATCCTTTTATTATTATCATCAAGTATTCCCTTTATTTTCCAAAATGCAATAGACAGAGCAGCAAGAAATACTATGATTAAATTTGTATTAAAAGTCATTTATTTTCAACAAATGCTTTTAGAAGTTGCAAACAGTTAATGACTGCCTGATCTTACTGAGGCACCATTCATGTCACAGTACACTTATTAATTACTGCACTGGTATTCTAATCACAGCATAACGATTCCGTTTAAGAAAACTATAGTTGTCAAAATACAATGGTTAGAACCATAGAAATAGAAATGATACAGCACAGAAAATGACCACTTTGTTAGCTTTAGAGCATTTACAGCTTTTGCTGTAACAGCATATATAATGCATCAAATGTTTCAAAACATGGAGAGAATCTTTTAGAGCTCTGTGGACTATGGTGAATGTGTGGCATAACTGGGCAACAAATGTGGTGACATCCATCTCAATGTCGTAATCAAATTGCTGAACCTTCTATGTTTTTCACAAATGCGTGGCAAGATTCACTAGACAGCCATGAGATGTCAGTTGACGGTCATTAATGCTTGTTAAACACCTTCTTAAAGCCACTAATCACCTTATTAATATTCAAACTCCCATCCTACCAAATTCACCAAACAAGCTGGACATGGAAAAAACTCAACAAGGAAACCAGAACATGTACCTGGCAAATTCAGCTTGCTGAAGTTACCTTCATGTTGACACCTGGCAACAACATCTTGACACAATCCATCAACGCCAGCCAACAACATTCCCCCTCTATGGAAACTGGCATCAGGAAGTAGCCAACCCAATGTAACATTCCTAGCACTTCTACTCTGTAATGGCAGTGCACTCTGAAAGCACAGACTTGCATTGCAAGGCAAACCAGTAAGGAGCACTGAAATGCTTCAGTGGGGACACTTTGTGCACAGGCAAACACCCAACTCTCAAACTGGATTATACTGCATCTTAGGGATGCTCTTTGCCCTCTTAGCACTTGGTCACAGTGCCTGCCTGCATTTTCATAGCTTTCCTGCCTTGCCTTGCCATTCCAATTATTACTCTTACACAACCAAGTAGCTTACATTGCATCTAAGCAGTCCTCAGCCTAGGGGGTGCATATCTTGCTGTACACCAGTATGCTAATCAATCTCACACCTGCTCCATGCCAACAGGATACACAGCAAAACAGTGGATCTGTGGCAAACAGGCAGCCACATATTCTAAGGAGATCAGTCCTCACTGAAGTCCATGCAAGCAACAGTCAGTCAGAGCGTTCCAGTGCAGTAAGTCATGGGCAGCTTCCCATACTGGAGAATGGCATTGGTTACAGTCAAGCATCCGTTTGTGTATTGCGGGGGTGGGGCCTCTTAGTCAGGTTGCCCTTGGTTTTGGGAATAGGCCTAATGCTATCATGGAGATTTTCTATATTTACTCATTGGATACGGGCATCATTGTCTGGGCCAGCATTTATTGCCAGTACATGGCTGCTTTTCAGAAGATGGTGGTGAGCTGCCTCCTTGAACCTCAGCTGGCCATTTGCTGTAGGTAAACCCACAATGCCATTAGGGAGGGGATTCCAGGATTTTGATACAACAACACTGAAGGAATAGCGATATATTTCCAAGTCAGCATGTTAAATGGCTTGGAGGGGAGCTTGCAGGTGTTGGTGTTCCCATGTAGCTATCAGACCATAATAAATAGGAACTGGACTAGGCCATTTGGCCCCACAAGCTTGCTCAACCATTCAATAGGATCGTGGCTAATGTCCACTTTCCTGCCCTTTCTCTATAACCCACGATTCCCCTACTGACCAAGAATCAATCTAAGACAAGGACTCTGCCCCACAGCTCTCTGTGGCAAAGAGCTCCAAAGACTCTCAACCATCTGAGAAGGAATTCCTTCTCATCTCAGACTTAAAACAATGCCTTTTTATTCTGAGATGAAGCCCTCTGGTCCTAGAGTCTCCCATGGGGGCAACTTCCTCTCAGCATTTACTCTGTTAAGCCACTTAAGAATCCTATAAGGTTCAATGAAATAAACCCTCATTCTTCTAAATTCCAGTAAATACAGTCACAACCTGTTTACTGATAAGACAACCCCTCCATCTATATCTGCTGCTCTTGTCCTTCAACATGGTAGTGGTCTTGGGTTTGAAAGTACCCTGGTGAATTTCTGCACTTCATCTTGTAGACAGTACATACGATTGCTGTTGAGCATTGTTGGAGGGAGTAGAATGTTTGTGGGTGTGATGCTGATCAAGCGGGCTGCTTTGTTCAAGCTTCTTGAATGTTTCTGGTGCTACACTTATCTAGACAAGTGGACAGTATCCATCAAGTTCCTGACTTGAACTTTGCGCATGGTGAATAGACTTGGGAGTCAGCAACTGTGTTACGATATAAACATACATAGTAACTTGAGCATCCCCAAGATGCAGGCTAGTCCAGCATGAGGGTTAGGTGCTTATCCCTGCCTATTTATATGTACCAGTTATGGCTCTGGGCATAACTTGCATGGGGATATCTGATCACGTACCTTGAGAGGAGGCGACAGTCAGTCTGTCGGGTTCAACCCCAGAAACAAAGGGTAGATCAATGCTTTTGAAACATTTCCTGATAAGCCCATTTTGCAACTTGATAACGGTATTGAAACACCAAGAGTGGAGGGAGAGATGAGCTGGCATATTTTTGTTAAAATAATGGAAAATCATTCAGTTTTCTCATTTTCATCTGTTTTCGTTTTTTCTATTCTGCCATTGACAGTAGTCATTTACTGACAGTCTAGCTTTATCCTGGCTTATATTTTAACACAGTAATTGCGCTAAGCAATTTACAATCTTTGTTCCTTTCAACACAGGAAACCTAAGCAAAACAGCTATTTATGTTGCAAAGCATTTATCCACATTATTACTGACTTTCAATCATAATTTTATACTTGCTCCTGCAAAGAAAAGGGCAAGGTAATTCATCTCTGCATGGAACATTTTTGGTGCTCTTTTTCCTAGAAAGCTTCCTTTTCACTTGTTTTTTTTCCCCCTGTATTTTCCAACCCACAATATTTCATGCAAGTCTTGCAGAGATGAAATTTCTTCAACCTCTCATTTCTCCTCATGGCCATTTTTCAGACACGAGATAATGATTATCCCACGTGATTTGACAATAGAATACTTCTGTCAAACCAGGTCCATTCTTGTGACGGACGACACAATTATAAACAAAATTTGCTGTTAACACTGTACAATACAGCCTTAAATTATATAACATAATTCAAGGGACACAATAGCATAATGGCAGTTTATAGACCGACATTTCCCTAGCTACCATCAATTCCGACAAAGGGTCACCAGACCCAAAACATTAACTCTGGTCTTTTCTTCACAGATGCGGTCAGACCTGCTGAGCTTTTCCAGCAACTTCTGTTTTTGTTCCTGATTTACAGCATCAACAGTTCTTTCAGTAATGAGGTGGAACAGTATTTGTCGAATACTGCTCCACAAATCCAATAGTTCATTGAAATTCAGTGTTTTAGCTGTTGACTTCAGTCAGTAGCATCTGTGATTAAACTTAAATCCACTCGAGTACATAATTGATGCGGTTTGTTGCTACACTGTCAAACTCGTTCAAGGTAGGTCTGCAGGTACAACAAGTAATTAGGAAGGCAAATGGAATTTTGTCCTTCATTGCTAAAGGGATTGAAATAAAAAGCAGAGAGGTTATGTTGCAGCTATACAAGGTGCTGGTGAGGCCACACCTGGAGTACTATGTGCAGTTTTGGTCTCCTTACTTGAGAAAGGATGTACTGGCACTGGAGGGGGTGCAAAGGAGATTCACTAGGTTGATTCCAGAGTTGAGGGGGTTGGCTTATGAGGAGAGACTGAGTAGATTGGGATTATATTCATTGGAATTCAGAAGATTGAGGGGGGATCTTATAGAAACATATAAAATTATGAAGGGAATAGATAAGATAGAAGTAGAGAGGATGTTTCCACTAGCAGGTGAAGCTAGGACAAGAGGACATAGCCTCAAGATTAGAGGGAGCAGATTTAGGACTGAACTGAGAAGGAATTTCTTCACCCAGAGGGTTGTTAATCTATGGAATTCCTTGCCCAGTGAAGTAGTTGACGCTACTTCAGTAAACGCTTTTAATAAAAAGGTAGATTTTTTTTGAACAATAAAGGAATTAAGGGATACGGTGAGAACACGGGTAAGTGGATCTGAGTCCATGATCTTATTGAATGGCGGAGCAGGCTCGAAGGGCCAGATGGCCTACTCCTGCTCCTAGTTCTTGTGTGTGTGTAGCTTTTTAGATTTGAAAATAAGCCCATTTGCCTTCGTAAATGGACGTGAAACACCACAGTGTATTATTTGGAAGGCAAGAGTTCTTTCGGTGCCCTGGCTAATCAATCACTTAACTCTTGAAGGGAGATATCATTGGTCTCATAATTGCTTGTGAACTATGTTGCACTCTAATACGTTTTCCTATGTAACAGGAGAAACTACATTTCAAACGGACTTCATCTGTCACGTATCCTGGAGATTATGAAAGTCGCTATATAAATGTAGACTTTGTCTTCCCATCAATTTCTGTTTTTCTCCCGCAATTATTAACATAGAGTCAACACAGAAACTCAAAACGACGAATTAGAAATTGATGCGCACTACGCATCTGTACTGTTTATATAACTGCTGGAAACGTGTCGACGCTGCAGCCGATTCTTCTAGAAACTTGTACTGACCCGTTTCACCCAATAGTAATGAGACAATGGCTCTCAATTTCGCAACCTCTCTCGCCCTCATGATGCAATCAGTCTCAAACCTGCCACTGCTCAACCAACCGGCACAACAATCCACTCTCGCGAGATCACCACCCCCTCCACGCGCCCCCCCATCCTAACTTCAGAAACCTGCGTGTCGACGTCACTCTGAATGACAAGCCGCTCGACCACGTACAACAAAAGCCCCAGGTACGGTTTTCCAATGAGAAAGCCAGTAGCTGCACAACAGCCAATCGTAGCGTGGGCTTGGGGCGGGCCCAATGTGCTATCAAGCTAGGTTGAGCTGACTGTAACTGGCGTCGATATAGAAAGGCGTTTTTTTGTGGCTTGTGGGGCAAACGTCGTGGAGGTGAGCGTAGCGGAGGGAGTGGAGCGGGAGGGCGAGCTCGTTAAAACAATTTATTCGGGCCAAATGATAAGAATTGAGGCGGAAATTGGGGCTGTTTAGGATTCACGTTGACTTTGTGATTTTTCTCGCTCGCAGATTGCCGCAAACGAGGGCGTCTCGCTCCACCGACGGGCTTTTTTATTTGTTGCGCAGAGAAGGAGTTCGGCGTCTCGGCACCGTGACGTGCCGTCCAGTAGTTCACCATATCCAAGAGCGATTAGGCTTGTGTTTATGTCTTTGTTTTGTGAAAACGGTAAGGTTCTGTGTATAGGGGATGTAATTTAATTTAGGATATGGTAAGGTAAGCGGTCGGTAGCTGAAACGTGTTGGAAGAGCTGGATGAAGGGTTTCTCAAAATGGCGCCGTACGGTCCCGGCTGGGACTGAGCGATTACCTCCCTCGTCCGTGTGACGCAGTCTGCACCACTTTTCGGAAGACTCTTGACTTGTACTGGGAGACAGTGGTGGGACCCTCGCGAGTGGTGTAAACTCGCAGCTCGTTTCTCGATGAGCACCCGTTGATGGGTAGCCGCTAAGAAGCGTTTAGTTAAAGAAGGCAGTATATTTTTCGCTGCCCTGCAATATTAAGGACTGCGCATGGTGGCGCTAGGTAGTGACTCACGTGTTGCGGAGGCTGTGCTGCTGCACCAAGCAATGACTCAGCGCTTGGCTGCCTCCTCCCCGTAACAAACCTCACTACCCGAAATGCCACCTGGCTGATCACTTATTATTCTCGTTAGCCTTGGTTCGTGCTATCAACTGAAGTGCATTTTTTTCAATGTTTACAACAACAGATCAGTACTTGTCAGAAACTTGGAATACGTGACTGAACACTTGGTGAAATCTCTGGGGTGTTTTTTTGGTTGAATTACCATAAATGCTATACTATCCGACTTGTAACTTTTTTTGGCTTTGATTTAATGCATATGCATTAAATCCATGTGTGATAAGATGTATGCTTGTGTTTTTTAATCATGCCTTTGCTTTCTGGTTTAGAGAAACATTTTTTTATTGTTTTGCTTGAAGTGATGATTGTAGAATACAGTGTGAATTCATAGCTTTTATCCACAAATGCCCCCATGCAGAGTATTTGAGAAGTAATATATTTTCTATCTAACATCTCTTTTTATTTCTCTCTTGTAACTACAGAGCTGTTGCGCAGCCGTTGGTACCTGTGTCGGGGAAACCTAACCAACAAACGGGGAACTTGCAGCCTAAGTGGCGCAAACTTTTTCATGTCAGAGACCGAGTACACTTGCAATTGTTTATGTCATCCATTCTTCTTCAGACAGAAGATACCAAAAAATTCCATTCAAAGATCTTTTCACTTTACTCATAAATCTAATAGTAAACCAGAATGGCTGTCAACGTCAATCGCAGTGTGTCTGACCAATTCTATCGGTACAAAATGCCCCGTCTGATTGCTAAGGTGAGAGTGATTGGAAATTTTTTTTGAATTAGTTTTAATTTGGAGCTTGACTGTCAAAAGCTAAAATGTGTTTTTTTTTCTTTTCCCTTAGGTCGAGGGCAAAGGGAATGGTATAAAGACAGTAATAGTCAACATGGTTGATGTTGCCAAGGCGCTTAATCGGCCTCCAACGTGTAAGTATTCTTAAATAATTCTAGCTTCATGTTTAGAGACTATGCAACTGTCCATCTCTAATTGGAAATATTATTAGTCAATTTTCTTAAGCATTCTGCATAGACACACATGCAACAACTTTAGCTATTAAAATCTCATTAGCTGTTTTGTTAAACTAGACAGCTAGTCTGCTGATTAATTTATGCCATATTGGTTACTTTTAATGAAAAATTGGAACAGTTGAGAATAGTAATGGTTGAAACGCAGCCCATAACAATGGCTCACTGAACCTGGATCTTCTCTAGAATTTCCCATTTAACCTGTTCTTAATCAACTTCCCTTTTGGAAAAGGAACATGTACTTCAATACCTGTTCTCGCTTATTCCACCCCTGGAAAGGAGCTGATAGATAAGGGCACAAATTTCCCCAAAATTACAAGTGAACAGTTGATTTTTTTTTGTCAGAGATGCTTTGTTCTTTTTGAAATAACTGGATATTTGGCTGTCAATTAATAGATTTAAGGATTGAGGTGATCCTTGGCTGTGTATGTGCTATGGAGCACGTATCTACAGCTTTTTGAAACAATAAATCCATTGCACCCTGACTTTTTAAAAAACTTTTTAACACTATATACTTGTAACAAATATAGGTTTTAATGGCTGAATTGCTGAGGCACGAAGGCACTTTGTCCAGTTGCTTCAATCTTTATTTTAGACTGCTATTAATAGTGGTTATGTAGTTAGAAGCATGAGGTCTACTGTATAATTTGAGGTACTTTCATGACTGTAGGTGAACATCCTGTACATAAGGCCCTGGTCCTCTGTCCTATCCCAAAAAATGGGAATCATCATTGAATTAAATCTTTCAGTTATTAGCAGGTGGTAAATGTCAGCTGTACTATCCTACCTTGGCTGAGCTGAAGGGTCACTGTTTTAAAGTTGAAAATAAGTTTGACTAATTGTGTAACGCTGTTTTGATTTAACTTGGTTTTTTTTTCAAATATTTAAAATCTTAGATCCCACCAAGTTTTTTGGTTGTGAGCTGGGAGCTCAGACCCAGTTTGATTCAAAGAATGACCGTTATATTGTGAATGGATCTCATGAGGCGAATAAGCTGCAAGACATGCTGGATGGATTCATTAGGAAATTTGTCCTTTGTAATGAGTGTGAGAATCCTGAAACTGACCTGGTGAGTGTTCAGTAAAGCTGAAATACTGTTGGTTAGTATAGAATGCTATTTGTTACGTGGAGCATGATTAAAACCAGTTGAAGGTAAAGGTATGTATTGAAAGCTTGGTGCAGTTTATGCCACTTTGTTCATAGATTTGTGCACACTCTCTTGATCCATCTATTGTCTGTTTCTCAAGCTGCACCAACTCATGAAACTTGTGCATTCCGTTCCTGCAGTTCTTCAGTTTTTGCAGCCTTCCATGCTGCTCTTTTTTCCTCCACCTGATGCCGCCTTCCTAATGTTGAGGGCCACTATCATGTGTAATAGATTTTATGTAGTAACACCTTCAAGGCCGTGTTCAACCACCTTCCACTTTTTTTTCCCCTTTCTCTCCAGCATGAGACCACTACACATCCTTCATTATTTCAAAAGGATTCCCTTTTTTTTGCTGTTCTGTTTGGGAAAAGCAAGACTGCCCTTTTTTTCATCCCAAGTGAAACAGCTTGTACTTGTATACAACTTTTGCTGTTCAGGGATCATCCATTAACAGGCTGGCTGGTCACTTTGTACAGTATCCCTGTTGAGGCCACAGGCATGGCCCCAAGTTTCTTGCCACTTTTCTTAAATTCTCTACCTTGTTAGTGGTTACTATTGTGACCTGAAGTGCTCCTATGAAAGCTTAAAACAAACTTGAGAAACAGATCTTCCATCCTTGGCTCTGCACTCCATAACCTTCAGGTTCAACTTTTTCAATAGCAGTCCCAGTGTGGGAACAGGCCACTTGGCCCAACCAGACCATCCTTACTCTATCCCTGTAACCCTGCATTTCCTATGGCTAATGCACCTAACCTACACCTGAACACTATGGGTACTTTAACATAACCAATCCATGTGCACGTCTTTTGGATTGGGAGGAAACCGGAGCACCTGGTGGAAACCCACATAGACACGGAGAGTGTGCACACTCCTCAAAGTCACCCAAGGGTGGAATCCAACCTGGGTCCCTGGCGCTGTGGAAGCAGTGCTAACCACTGAGCCGTCCCTCTTTTTAAGCAACAATGTTGCAGATGGCAGGATTCAAATCTACACAGGAGCAACCCCAATGGATTTCTAATCCATCACTGTTTAATCTGTTGGCAGTGACTACAACTACTTGAATTTAACTTCTGTCTCCTGTATTTTCAGTTTTTGTGGGTGTGTTTGCTGAATTCAGGTGGCTGCTGTTTAGGTGTTTATCTCTTATCTGGCTGCTAACATGGCATGCTGCTTTCTACTTTTTTATTTTAGATTTTTTTCTTGGTTTTGCCTCTTTTTGCTGCCTCCACCCCCCCCCCACACCCTCTGGCTAGAGGGAACTGGTATCTTTCTCTGCGTGTTATGTATTTAAATTGAGTTCTATAAATTATCAACTTGACCTGCAATTTTTAAGACTGCATCAAGATGTATGATTTAATTTTTCAGCATGTCAATCCAAAGAAACAAACTATCGGTATTTCCTGTAAAGCCTGTGGATACCGAGGCATGCTTGACACACGCCATAAGCTCTGCACATTCATTCTTAAAAATCCACCTGGTAAGTTGTGGTTTTTTTTAATAACATTGAAATGCAAACCTCAAGTCCAAAAGTCCTTAAGATATTTGACATAAGGATATCTGTTCCAGAAAATGGAGATGGTGGTTCAGCCAAGAAAGAAAAGAAAAACAAAAAGGGCAAAGACAAGGAAAATGGATCAGTACCTAATTCGGAATCATCCACCCACAATGAGTTTGATGCACCGGAGGCATTGGTAACTTTTTTTCTACATAGGGATTTGCAGAACATCCCAGGGAAGCTATTTCAGCTGCCAGCACTCAACAATTTAGCATGTTCCTTATCCCTGTTCCTGCTGGTTTGCAGTTTGGGGTTTTTTTTAGATGTTTTATCCAGTTTAGCTTTAGAAAGCTGTGACTTGCATATGCCCCTCAGGAGCAATATATTCTAGATCCTTAACACCTCTTCAACCTGACCTACCATCCTCACTGCATGGCTTGCGCACAATGTAGTTTAAGGAAACCTAACTGCTTGATGTTCATATGGACTCTAGAACAGTAACTTATAACCAATTTCTCTGCTAGGATGGTGAAGATGATGATGATGACTGGTGTGAAGAAACCACAGAAGAAGCCCAGCGGCGTCGAATGGGTGAAATCAGTGAACATGCCAAAAATTTGACACTCAGTGATGATCTGGGGAAAACTTTAGAAGAAAGAGTGAACTTGTTCTACAACTTTGTCAAGGTATTCATTATGTCCTGCATCTTCAGCTGAATGGCCCTAACCCTGCTTTTGCTCTGAAATTCAAAGTCTTAATTTTTTTTTCTATTGGTTTCCATCTGTAAAAGTTGAGCAGTATACACAGCATTAAATAGAGTTTGTCATACAGCACAAACAGGCCCATCAGCCCAACTCATCCATGTGAACCAGGTTTCCTAAACTGAACTAGTCCTATTTGCTGGTGTTTTGGCCCATATCCCTCTTCTTGTACTTTTCCAAATATTTTTAAATGTTGTTGTTGTTGTTGTTGTATTGTACCTGCCTCTACCACTTGCTTTGGCAGCCTGTTTCAAATACACACCATCCTCAGACGGGAGAAACAGTTGGCCCTCGTCCCTTTTTTTAAAAATCTTTTCCCCTCCTTAAACCTATGCTGTCTAGTTTTGGACTCCTCTACCCTATGCCCTTGATTTTTGTAGACATCTGAACAGTCACCCCCCCCTCCTCCTCCTATGCATGAGGAAAGAGTCCCAACCTCCACTCCAACACTACAGTCTTGGCAACATTCTTGTAATTTGTTTTGTTTTTTCTTTTTGCACCTTTAAATCTGGCTGTAACAATGTTGTCAAGTGTTGTTTTTTTTGTACAGCCATAACATGACATCCCAGCTCCTGTACTTGATGCTGTGAGCAATGAAGTCAAGCATGCAAAATAGGCAAAGGTTTTGATTCCTACATTTTTTTAACTTGTCAGTTCCAGGAATTGCTGTTACTTGCACAATGTGGTCCTTTGCAATAACTAGTGCTAGGAAATATTTCCATCAGTTGTACTGAAGTTGGGTTTGGAAGCACAAACAGATCTCATATCAATGAATGATGGAAATCCATCTTTAAATTTAATCACTTGATTTTCTTTTCCCATTATGTGGTTGCATTGGATATAACTTGATGTCTTTACTGATTTTAATAATCAATCCAGAAATCAAGTATTTAAATTTGTTGGTATTCCACTCTGGAGAGTGGGGAAACTTAAGTCTGAAAACTAATGGCCAGTGTTGGAGTATGTAACTGGCTGTGATATTTTCTTGCAGAAAAAGAAGGAAGAGGGCATTATTGATTCTGCTGATAAAGATCTTCGATCAGAAGCTGAAAGATTGGATGTAATAGCTATGGGCCCTCTCATACTGAGTGAACTGCTTTTTGATGAGAACATAAGAGATCAGATCAAGAAATATAAACGACACTTTCTGCGTGTAAGTAATTCCTCCCTCTCAAACTGAACAAAACTGCAGGTCCTAGAAATCTGAAAGATTGCTGGAGAAGCTGTGCCAGTCTAGCAGCATCTGTGGAGAGATGGTAGGAGGAGGGTCTGAAATTCACTGGACTCAACATTAACTGCCCAATGTTTCACAGGTGCTGCCAGATCTGTGTATTTCCAGCAATTCCTTTGTTTTACTGTTCTTCTTAGATTAACAGTACATTAACTTTTTTTCATTTGACAGTTCTGCCATGGTAATAAAAAGGCTCAGAAGTATTTACTCGGTGGCTTTGAGTGTCTGGTGAAAATACATCGGGACCAGCTGCTGCCCAGAGTTCCGCATGTGTTGAAGCAGCTTTATGATGCTGATCTCTTGGAAGAAGAGGTTATTCTTGCCTGGGCTGAGAAAGTAAGTTTGAGCAAATGTGAAATTTGAATGTTGATTGTGTACTGTAATGTAAAAATCCAATTACATTGGTAGAGAAGAAGCCAGGATAGATGTACTAACTATGCAACGGCACTGACTTTATCATTACCCCTCTGTACTTGAAATAAAGAGTCATGGAGAATTTGGCTGAAGATGTCAGTCTAATTTTTAGGAGTGGTTGTGGTGAAAGTCACCATGTGAAGTGAGTTGAGAATTCCTAGCAAAGTCTTTCTTTTTTTAAAGCTGGAGTTTTCCTTCCTGAGACAGGCTGAATAGAAGAAACTTTGTTACCTCTTTTTTTTGAATTAAATGACTTGAGGTGACTAATTCTATGCAATGGGGAGCCATTTGGTATTTGATTTCTTTTCATACTTAAGATCACACTGCAGAACCATAGCTAACGGTGAAGCATTAGTCAATTTTACTGAGATCTACAGAATTTGTTTAGTGCAGATTAACCAGAATAACTTTTTATTATAAACAAGGTCTCCAAGAAGTATGTCCCAAAAGAACTTGCCAAAGAGATACATGCAAAGGCAGATCCATTTATTAAGTGGCTAAAAGAAGCTGAGGAGGAGTCTGAAGAGGAGGAAGATGATGATGAGAAGGATGTGGAGGTATCTGTTTAATTGATTCCCTTGCAATTTATGAATGTTATGAACATTGCTGTTTAATGTGTGCATTGATATAGATTCCACAATTGAACTGAGCTTGATCTAGTACATCCATCAGTTGCACAATTGATCTATCATTCAAATTTTTGATCTTGGCAGCTCTACCTTGTGGAAATCTGGAGTATTGTGTTGCATTCATTTTAAACTAGTCATGTCATGTTTATCTTGCAGGTGGTTTATGATAGCTCTGCAAGAGAACTGACAGTGGAAACTGTGAAACCCATTAAGACGAAAGAGGAAGAAGATATAGATATTGATGCTATTTGATGTATTCTTACAGGGGACAAAATCAACCTATTAAATCTTGCAGCAGAGAAGTCAGTAATGAAGAAATTCCTGTATTTCAACTGTAATTGCTGAATTCAGACTCTGCTTTTCAAAGTCTACAATATGATTCTAACACTTCACTACCACCTCCACCTACCAGTTAGGAACTTAAAGCATGTCCAAAGTCTAAATGGTAGAATGGTCCTACTATAAATTTGTCTAAACTTTTCTTGTTGCTATTGGGTAATGCTTCAGCAGTTACTGTGCATTTCTACAGGGATGTAAAATAGAAATTAAAGGGGATTGTGTTCTGTATACCAGCACCTGGGTTTTTATTCAGTGTGTAAATGTAACTTGTCAAACAAATTTTCAGGGTTTTAACTCACTATTAAAATAAGAGCTAACTCATTGTATATGGAGGCTACTGCCTAGCTGTCTGTAAGATTATACTGCTATTAAGTGCTTCATGACTAAGCATTTGCAATGACTAAAGTAACAATCCATTATTACAACAAACTTCTGGTACACTCTGTATTAATCATCTTGGATGATGGGTGAACTTCAGCAGAGCCTGTGCTCTCTTGCCCACTTAACATACATGGGTATGTGTACCAACAACAGTGTTTATTCAGACAGCAATTTGTGTATCTAAGCAAAAATTCTGCTTTTTGTGGATGCAATCACTGATTATTGATGCACATAGTATGACAATGGAATTAGTGGAATTATTTGTTTGATAGAAGGTGATGGCTTTTGCATTTTTCACATGGAATTTAAATGCATATTTGTTTTTGGCAGTTTTTTGTTCTGATGTTTTTGGCATGGTAGTTAATTGAATTACTTCAATCTTTTTGAAAAAGTAAACATTGCAGATACTAGAGATTTGAAATCTTGGATAGTTTGAATTTTGGCCACTGATTGTTCTGTTTCAGTAAAGCCTCTTGACCCAGAATTTTTTTTAATTCCCATCTAGTCTATTGACTTTTTTTTTAAATTTGGGTCTGATTTTTGGGATCTAGTTCCTGTAATGTAGCGAAGGGTGGAGGGCAAGAAGGTAAATTACCCTGATCTAGGACTGACTTCATATGTGCCTTTTTTTGATCTTGAGTCTGTACACTAACTTTTAACTTTAAAGAAATTTTAGATTAGGTACCCTGTCTAGTTGATGATAAAATGCAGCCATTGATTTTTGAGAAACCTCCTGAATTTGTTCACTCTGCCACAACCACTGCACACCTTTTTTTATTTCTGCCCATCATTCTAGTAATAATTGGCCTACATTCACTGGCAAAACATTAGATGTTTGCTACTTTTTAGAGGTATTGACTGGTCCCAGTAGTACCATAATTTTGTGTTTTTTTGAGATCTTTTGGTATGAACTTTGAAAAAGAGGTTAAGTTTTGGTCTGTCCAGTTTTGGGGTTTGCATTAAAGCTCATTGTCTAATGAGAGAAATTACTAACAGGTGGATCACTGGCAGTTTTGCAGCCAAAGATCTAAATTTCAGATCTCTAGTGCAGTAAAGAATAAAATTTAGTCTTTTGAATTACTGTGCCTCTTCAAAGTTAACAATCCTTTGTGCAAACTTGCCTTTTGAGAAGTAGCTCTGTTTCTGGCCTGTGAAGATCTTCACTTGAGGGTCTCTGATTGCAATAACCTTTTTTTAATTTTTTCAATTCAGAGCATAAGCAAATGCTTTTTTTCCTGTCCTGACATGGGAACTTGACAGCAACAAAAGACTTGCTTTTTCTGAAGATTTTTTTTCTTGTAGTAGTAACAACAATAATAAGGTCTGCAAGAGAATGTGCATCGTCTAAAAATAGACATGGTATGGGATTGTGGTAGGGACCTACATTGTTTCAGTACTTCAAACAAGGCACAACAGCACATATGTTTTGCTGACTATCAAAAATCTAAATCTCTCAAGCTAGCCTCCATTCTTGACTTCAAGTTGTTGGCCTCTAAGGATGAACCATTGAGCATGATTGCAAAGCCAATTGAAATCATTCTTGTAGAAACATTGCATGTGAATAAAGTTAGCTTTTGGTGTGTAAGCTATCTGACATGTGCTTGTCATATTTCTTTGTAAACTTCTTGACTTTTTTCCACTTCAGAAATACAGGGAGTTATGTAGCTGAGACAAATCAGAAAAGGGGATGATGTTGCCTTGATTAAACTGCAATGTTGGGTTTTTAAAGGATGTGGCAATATGAAGTTGCACTCCCAACATCTACTCTATGGGTGCAATTCTAGATGTTTTGTAGTAAATAGTTTCACTAAACAGCCTTGGAGTGCAGAAGCAAATACCCTGTTCTTTACCTAATCTAGATACTATCAATGATTAGCAGGGTTTTGCTAGATAGCTAGCTACTAGAACTTCCTGTAACTCATTCTAGCTACTGTAAAGTGCTAGAGAAATTCAACAGCTGTGGCAGTATTTAAGGAGAGTTGTTATATCAGATTTGAGGTGTTAACCTTTGACATCTGCTACTGAATCTGTCAAAGGGGAAGAAATTCACTTTTATTGCTTGATATATCAGCTTGGTGGCTTATGCATATTATGATTACAAAGCCCATCGTTGCATTTACCTAAGCAAAATAGAGACAATGAGAGCACACACATGCATGCACACACCCCCCCCCCCCCCCCGAAAAAAACTCATAATCAAAGGCTGTACTATGCAGCCCCAAAGTAGGCTTTATTAAAGAGTTTTTAATCTGGGTACTGGAGACCTTGAGCTGGGATCATTGCACTTTGAATAACTAAATTTAAAATCAGTTTCCTTGAAAGGAAGCACATGTTAGAACAGCCAGTAAATCAATTTGAAATGAAAAGAGCTGCAGATCAATCTCCATTGGCTGCAAACTCACTGAACTTACCAGATGGTATTCTTCACCTTCAAGGAATCTCTCTCATTCACTTATTACAGCTCCAATCTACAGCTGTAGTTATGAAAACAGATGATTTTCATTAGGTGCTTAGTGAGCACTACTACCACTAACAAAGTGGGAAAGGATTATTCAGAGTTGAGGTTTAAATGATCAATATTTTAGTGAATTGATTTAATGTAGTGATGGCAAGAAGTTTCGACAAGTCCAGTGGAAAAGTGAGGGGTGTCCACCACCTGCAGAACATTGGCATGAAATTGCACCTCAGCTGCAGAACATGTTGAATACAGTAATGATCAAGGTGATGAGCAACCAGAGCCATGAGGTTAAGGGTATTTGGTGACCTTATGGAACTGCAGCTAACCAGTGACAGGACTGACACTTTGCATAGGACATTCCTACCAAGCTTCCAAAACCTATTTGACTAGAGTCAAAACTATACAACACATGAGGAACCTTTTTGAATCTATGCCAACCTATGTACACTAACTGCAGTTTCCAGCACTTGGTCCATAGTACTACTATAGCTGTTAGAACAGAAACCAGGTGTATCTCAAGAAGGAAGAAGTGAAACTTGTTTCTCCAGAGATTTTACACTAATCCCTCAATTACACACCTATCATAATGATTTAGACATAGGTAACTCTCGACGCTTGAAAAGTTGTGCGAGGGGGTCTACTTGGAACAGTTCATTAATTGAGACAGACATTGCAAGCAAATCACTGCTCAAACTGTTGTTCAAAAAGCTCATCATTGAACAGGTAAATTGTGAATTTGCACTTTCTGTGGTGGCTAGCTCTACTTTTTAATATTATGTAATTGTAGGTAAGTGAATGCACATCAAGTTGTGGTTGTAATAATGATCTGAATTTCACACAACATACAAAATGAATAAACAAGAAAAGCAGTTGGTCATTGAGTCTGGGATGGAGTGTCAAATTTATACCTCCCAAATTCAGCTACTCAAAAGCAGTAATTTAACCTCCCTTGAAAAGTATAGTGCAATATTTAACCCAACTCCACACTCGAGCATACTTTCAAAGCATACTTATTTGACCTCTCATCTACCCCCATTCCATCTGAAATAGCCTCTCAGGAGGAATAAATTTGACAATTTTGTATGCCTCTATGAAATCACTATAAAGGCTATGCGTTTCCATAGGGAATTTTGCGCAGTTCTTCCCCCTCTGATCCACACTTGCCAATACCTGTTATTCTCCAACCAGTTATCCTCTGCTTTTCCATCATCTACTCAGAGGCCTATTCCAGAATGCTTAGATTTATGCCTTGACTATTAGACTATAAAACAAAGAGCAGAAGTAGGCCATTCAATCACAAGTGTCTATTCACCTGTACAATGAGATCATGGCTCATCCGATAATCCTCAACTCCACTTTCTGCCTTTTCCCTATAATGCTTGATTCCCTGACTAAAATGTCTCAGCCTTGAATGTATTGTAACAATATTCTCAACAGCCCTCTGCAGTAAAAAAATTCCACAGATTTACTGTCCTCTCACAGAAGAAATCCCTCCTTTTCTCCCCCCTTATTCTGAGATTATGCCCTCTGGCTCTACATTCTCCCAGAAGGAGAAATAACTTTCCACATCTACCCTGTTAAGTCCCCTAACAACCATGTATGAATCAAGGTTGCCTCTCATTCTGCTAAGTTTTAATGAGTACAGGCGCAATTTACTCAACCTTTCCCATAATACAGACCCTCCATACCTGGTAATAGCTTAGTGAACCTTCTCTGGACTACTTCCAATGCCAATACAGCTTTCCTTTGATAACACTGTTCACAGTATTCCAGCTGTGATCTGACAAATGCCTTGTAGTTTTAGAAAAAAAACTCCCTATTTTTATAATGCATTCTGTTTGAAGTAAAGGCCAACATCTATTACCTGCTGAACCTGGGTACTGGTATTATGTTGTTCATGGATGAGGACTCTCAAATCCCACTATTCTGTAGCTTTTTGCAGTCTTTTTCTTTTTAAATAATATTAAGTGCCTCTTCTTCCTGCCAAAGTACATAACCTCAAATTTCCCCACATATTCCATCTACCAAGTTTTTGTCTACTCACTTATCTATATCCTTCTGCAGACTCTTTTGTGTCATCCTCAGAACACTTGCCTTCCCATCTATTTTGTGTCATCTGCAAAATTGCCTACAGTACATTCACTTGCCTCATTCAAGTCATTAATATATGTTGTAAATAATAATGACGGACTAGCACTGATCCCTGTGGAACTTGTTACAAATTTCTCTCCTGAAAAAGCACCCCCCCCCCCAAAATTATTCCAACTCTGACTTCTATCAATTAGTCAATTCTATATCCATTATTAAGATACTATTTCCAACACCATGAACTCTTAAGTAGCCTAATATGGTACCTTATCAAGTGGCTTCTTAAAACCAACTGCTTCCTCGTTATCTATCCTGCTTAGTACCTTCTCAAAGAATTCTAATAGATTTGTCAGGCATTATTTCCCCTTCATGAATCCATACTGATACTGATTGATCATATGTATTTCTAAATGCTGTTCTATTACATCCTTTATAATAGACTTTAATATTTTCCCAATAACCGATGTCCAGCTATCTGGCATATAGCTCCCTGTGTTTTTTTCTCCTTTGTAAATTAAAGGTATTATATTGGCAGTTTGTCAACCCTCTGGGAATGTTCTAGAATCTATGGATTCCTAAAAGATCACTACCAGTGCATCCATTATCTCTGTACCCAATGGATGTTCCATCCATTCTGGTCATCTGTTTGAAAATACGAGTTCCTGCTTCCCATCCTGGTTGATCAACTTCATACATCTATATGCCCCATGCTGACTTCCTGTTGAGACTCCCAAAACCTATCTCAAGTCAGATTTAGGGAAATCCGATAAAGCACAATGGGAGGTGTCGGGGGTGGGGGTGTCAGGGGGTGCTTTTTCAAAGACCAATCCAGTCAGTCAATCTCACTTCCTTGCTCCCCCTCTCCCCTATTAAGTTTCTCATTAAGTCTGTTGAATTCCCTCTTAAAGGCTACTGTTGGACTGTGCATATCAAAACCTAACCACTCAATGTGTAAAAGCATATCCTTATAATTTTTTATTCATTTACCAGTTTCTTAAATCTGTGCTCTTTCATTGTTGAGCCTTCAGCCAACAGAAACAGTTTTTCTTCATTTACTTTATCTGAACCCTTCTTGATTTTAAACAGTCAATCAAACCTCTTCATAGTTTTCTCTACTGTAAGGAGAACATTCCAAAAATCTCCTGTTTACCATGTAACTGTAATCTCTCATTTACAGAATCCTTCTGGTAAATCTTTTTTGTACTATATCAAATGTCTTCACATCCTTCGTAAAGTCTATTGCCCAGAATTGGACACAATATTTCAATAAAGGGCTGAACAAGTGTCATATGAGTTTAGCATAACATCTTAGTTTTTGTACCTTAGGCCTCACTGCATTATGAACCTGTCCTGCCACTTCCAAATATTTCTTCACAATCTCAGAATTGTGTTTTTGCATCATAATCTATCATTCAGTAAGTTACACATTTGAGAGATTAATAGCTGGATTTGTGATGGTAGAGTCGTAGAATTCTTACAGCAAGGAAAGAAGCCTCTTGGCCGATTGTGACCGTGTCGGTCATCAAAAATCTGTCTATTCTAATCCCATTTTGCAGCACTTGGCCCATAGCCTTGTATATTACAACATTTCAAGTGATCATCTCAATACTTGTTACATGTATTGAAGGTTTCTACGTCTACCACCTATTGGAGCTGTGAGTTCCAGATACCTACAACCTTCTGGATAAGAAACCTTTCCTCAAATTCCCTCTGAACCTCCTGCTCCTTAACTTTAAACTGTGTTCCGGTTATTGACCCCTCTACTAAGGGGAAAAGTTTCTCCCTATCTACCCTGTCTGTGCCCCTCAAAACTTTGTATACCTCAATCAGATTTCCCTCAGCCTTTTCAGTTCTAAGGAAAACAATATTAGCCTATTTAGTCTCTCTTCGGACCTGAAACATTACAGGAACCATCCTGGTGAATCTCTTCTCCACCCTCTTTAATGCAATCACAATCTTCCTATAGTGTGGTGACTAGAACTCCATGAAGTACTCCAGTTGTGTCCTGGCTAACATTATATACATTTTCATCACAACCTCCTT